AAAATATGGGAAACTTGCAATGTTTTTCTGGAATATGATTATGAGAATCTAAATTAGGTATCACTATTTGGCTTTGTGAAATAAGCTCACTTTGAATGTCCATATTAAATCGTTCTAGTACCTATTAAATTAATGAATAATAATTGAGAAGTACCTAGGTAGGGTCAGTAAAAAATAAAGCACACTATTGCAACCCCGTTTCGCTTATATTTTGATATTGAAATGTGAAATGCAAAAATTAAACAGGCTCGGCACCCCACATTTGGTTTTCTACTGTTTCTCAACTGTAGTCAATTGTGCCCGTTTTGTGCTCAATTGTGTCAGTATTTATGCGAATTGTGCTCATTTTCATACACAAAAAAAACATTGAAACGAATCCGGGGGCCAGCTTGACTCCAGCCCTTCGTTTTTTTGACTTTTTGGCAATATGTTTGGCTAATTGATAAACAAAAGCAAACAAACTCGTCTTTCTAATTAGCAATTAGCCAACCACTCAAGCCTCAAGGACACAAGCTTTTGAAGTCTGCTAATTTTAAAATCAATATATTAATTACAAAATACAGTTTTCAAAGGAAATAACCTCAAAATAACAATTTTTCACGTTTGAAAATGCAAGGATAGTGCACTGTCATAAAAAACACAAACCGATCAAGGACTTCGTGACGTCATTCGCATACCGCCATCTTCGATGTTTTTATGAACGTTTGTCTTATGGGATTGAGCAATCCTGTAGAGTTTACGATTCTTGACGCACACCCCCTTTAATTTATTCTGCCTGTGCTTGGACCGGACCTTGGACTTTGATGAGTTTTGACTTGACGACTGCTTCGTTTGTACGGTGGCCGGTGGGTGGTTCCAAGGTCACTTTATTACAGATGGATGGAGACTGTAATTTTTGACTTTCATATTTTATGCGCCAATAATGGATGGCGCCACAATTAATAACTAGGGTCACTGTAGTATAACTAGTTAGTCACTGTATAAAAAAAATTGAAAACAACGTATTTAATGTAGATGTAGAACCAATTAAATATAAGACGGCAATTGTCGCCACTGTGGTTCAATAGAGTCACTGTATAACTAGTGATAAACCATGATAAACTAACAGGATAGCTCATCCCATTGAGGCTCATCCCAATTTCGTACGTTCGCCAGTTCTGGAGTCGGCAGCTAGTCTGCGAGTGACGTCATCACGATCAGCAGCTGATGGTGGTCAAAGTTCAACTGTTTTGGAAATATTGACAGTTGAAAATTGACTTTTTGCAACTTTGACAGGCTGTAAAACCTGAACGGTTAATTTTAGAGGAAAACCGATTTTACATTCCTATCTTAGATTTTTATAAACTATCATTTGACACCAACTTAGAATTAAATCCATGATTAAAAATTTCAGTTAAATTTAATCTCTGGTTAAGTTCAAAGTTGGTGTTAAATGATAGTTTATCAAAATCTAAGATAGGAATGTGAAATCGGTTTTCCTCTAAAATTAACCAATTAGGTTTTACAGCCTGTCAAAGTTGCAAAAAGTCAATTTTCAACTGTCAATATTTCCAAAACAGTTGAACTTAGGTATAGGGTATATCACATGAAATCTGCTCAGAATTTTACGTAGAATCCAAATATGCAATTAAATACGGGGTGTTCCATTTAAAATAGTGATGTTGCCACTAGTTTAGAGTAGAAGCGGCAACACCGCATGGTCAAAAATATTTTTAAAGTGTAGATCATGATCGTTTATCCCGGTTGCCAAATTTTCAAAATGATTCGCTTTTTAGTTCTCCATAAACGTCTAATACGCCATCCACCGTGGGACACCCTGTATATAGTAGCAAAAGTAAGTATGTGCGAATATTTTTTTCCATTATAACTTAAAAATTAACAACTCGCCGCAACCCAAAACAACTACAGTGACTCTATTACCACAGTGGCGACAATTGCTGTCCTATTTTTGATTGGTTCTAAAATCCCATATATTTATATCGAAAACGCCGCCATCTTGTTCCCAACCTCTTTCTACTTTTAAATATGAATATATGGGATTTAGGTGAACATCCATCATAAATAATGGAAAACAACGTATTTGATGAACCTAATAATGGTCATCAAATACGTCGATTTCAATTTTTTATGATAGATGTCCATTTAAATTCTATATATTAAAATTTAAAAGTAACAAAAGGTTGGGAACAAGATGGCGGCGGGACCTCTATTGTCGCCACTGTATGTAGAGGTTTATTTAGCCACTGTAAAAACAACAACAAAACAAAATAACGGTGGAAAATGTGGAAATCAACCAAATTAAATACAATGAAGTATGACGTTTGACGACAAGTGAAGCCGGCGCCGATGTGTCGAATGCCTTCCAACGTTGGACACATAGCGATTTGTGGCATCGTGTAGCCGTTCGCTCATCGGATACATTTGCCGAATGCTAGAGCAAAAAACACTGTACTTAACGTTGGATCTAACGTTGGGGCCAATGGTTGATGGACACATCGTGTGGCGCCGGCTTAACGCAAAGTCATACTACGTGACGTCATCCAGATTCGCGCGCATTTAAGGTCGTTTGAAATGCTTTTAATTCGCGCGAAACTTTAAACATTTTTAAATTATTATTGAGTTTTAGGGAATAATATTTGGGGAATACTCTTTCACGGCATAAATAAATGATTAAAAAAAAAAAAAAATAGTAAAGTTCGCTATTGTTCTTAATTAGTTCTCGATAAACCAAAACACTGTCAACATAAACCGAATTTTCGCGACGAACCACTTCCATGATTTCATGAACACAAACGCTTTCGCGAGAAACCTATGACGTCATATTGAACGTAGTTCGACGGAAGCATGGATGCAGCTTCTAGACAGCAGACGAACTATGGTTCATCCTTGGATGAACTACATTCGTCGCGAAAATTCGGTTATAGTTCGATTACGATTCTGAAAAAACGAAAAATTTTATAATATGCGCATGTGCAGAAGTTGTATTCCTTTCAAGAGTTTGAAACACTCGAGCTACTTGCTCCGGTGGGTGTTAGTCGCCTCCGATTTGAAAAGAGCAGATGCGTAGTGCAACAAACACTTTTCGAAAGGAATACGCGCGTAACGCCCCGGAGCTGTTCCGGAACTCCTCCTAGGTGTGAAAGGAATACAACTAGAATGATTCCGAACTAAAAAGTTTGACTTCAAATATGCACATGTTTTTTCTTTTTATCTGCGAATGACTCCTAGAGCCAGTTTGATGTCTAGCATGGAGCACTTGGATTTTAAAAAAGCGTTCTTCATGGAAGTTACTCCGAACGAATAGCTCTCTTAAGCTTGTGACTCCAGAAGAACGCGGCTTTACGGCCATAGCTGCTTTCCAGTTTGCACATTGGCGCGCTCTAGAGTACCCCAGGAGCGCCACGCACTAGATTTGTAAAGTTCCAGTATCATGACGTGTGATGTTTGTCCGTACGTATAGCTTGAGGGCTCAACGCTCTGAGTAGCTCCGAGCGTCACACTCCCATACTGGAAAGCAGCTGGCTGCGATTAAAATGACTTAAAGTCATTTTTTTTAAAGAGAATTTCATACATCTGTCAAAACTGGTATTCCAACAATGAACTGACATGTTTTGATTGTTGATTTGAACCAATCAGATTGCAATTACGCGATAATTTGCACTAGTGCAAATTATCAGATAATTGCTTGATAATTGCATAGTAACTGGTGCGAAAACTGGTGTTTTGACATTTTTTGACAAAAAATTTTAATTTTTGATTTATGAAATTCTCTCATTAAATACAACTCGTGCTCGTGCAATGGAAATATATTTATAATTTTCGATAAATTTGCACTCATGCGTTTTTAGCTGAAAAAGGCACTCGTGCACTTCGTGCACTCGTGCTCTTCGGACAAATTTCCCAAAAATTATCAATAATTTCCATTGCACTAGTTATATTACTATTGATAATTCCCCAAGTCAAAAATTCAGTAACAATAGCCGCTTTCCAGCTGACATTGTGTTTGTGCTTCAAGCACGGTGCAGCACAGTGTTCTGTGATTGAAACGCAAAAGTTAGCAGCTCTCTAAGCGCAGTACGGCTAGAACAGAAACACGCGCTTGAAGCATTTGCGCGCGCAAAAGCCTGATTGCGTGCTCAAAATGGTCAGCTGGAAAGCGGCCTATATTGGCAACACAAGCATTTTCTACACAACAAATTTGAAAGTATTGACAATTTTAGATTATATTGGCAACCAATTTGACTTTTATCTGTAAAAAAGCAGACTTTATATTCTGGAGCCTGTTTTGGACGACTCTCGGGCCGGAGTACAGATACTTTGCTCATTTTATCCAACCATTATTCCTGATTCCTATTAGTTGTAGGTCTGAGCAAGCTCTTCTGCGTTTGATTTGGAAATTTTTGTGAGTGGTTGGGGCTTCCTAAAGTCTGTTTTTTTTTTTTTAAGATAAAAGACATAATTGACATTATGTTGTTGGCAATACAATGTAAAATTGTCAATGCTTTCAAATTTTTCATGTAGAAAAGCTGGTTTGTGTTGCCAACATAGTTACTGAATTTTTGACTTGGGAAATTATCTTTAAAAAAAAGCAGACTTTACATGTTCCCCGTTACTAGCTCCGGAGGCATTTATTCAAAGTAGTTGGGTGTGTTTCGGATTACACTCGCTCGGAGTACAGACAGTTTGCTCATTGTATTCGACTATTCCTGATTCGTTAGTTGTAGGTCTGAGCACGCTCTACGGCGTTTGATTTGGATATTTTTTTGAGAGGTTGAGGCTTGCTAGCTACATATTCTCCGTTACTAGCTCCGGAGTCATTCGTTAGGGGGGGATTTGTTACACACAGGCCTTATGAGGATAGGCCATCCTGTAGTAGTAGTGTGTATCATCCTTGCCTAGTACCTACTTGAACAAAAATAATGAAACGATTTGCGTATAACTGAAATTTTCAATGTATTTTTGTTTTGGCACTGTTCGCTGGCTTTCGGTCAATTTATAAGGCCAATAGTTCTTTTCACGTGGCTCCGGTTTAACTAACCGGGTTACAAAACTGTTAGAGAAATGACATACCGTTTTCTAAGCCGGTTACTTAAACCGGAGCCACGTGAAAAGGGTTATTGAATGAAGTCCCATCGTGGGTGGTTTCAGACGGAAGTGGAAGGAAGCTCCGAGAGTCAAATGTCAGTACAAAAAAAACGCGGCTTCACGGATCCTTTGTCAGATGTCAGATGTCATGAACAGAGAAACGTCAACGTCAGAAGAATGTGTTCCCTCATCGCTCAATGATTCGATTCAAATGCAAGCAGTTTGCTTTTTTGCAATTTGCAGGTTAACAGTGTACTCTGTATTGTTATTGTCCTCTACTATGATCTTAAGATCTTATGATCAGTGGATAGTTAATGGTGAAATGTAGCGTCAGAAAATGTAAAAACCACACTAACCAAACCAAAAGTTGGTCTGAGGGTTTTAATGGATTCTTGAAGTAGGCCTAAAGTCAATATGGGGCCACGCTGCCGGCTTTGTTTAGCAGAAATTGTTGAAGACCGAGCTGCAAATATCTTCACATACACCTTAAAACATTCTGAAGACTCATTTGTACATGTGCTGTCTCAGGTATTTACAGTTGAAGTAAGTATTGTTATTTCGGTTGGGTTTGTATAGGTATATTGACTATTGACCATTTCAGTACAGAGTACAGATGAATATGACAAAATTATTAGCTATCCAATGACCAATGATAATCAAGATCCAACTAACTGTGCTTAGAACAACATCATGTAAAAAAGTAAATCACTTCTAATCAAAATCTTACCCACACTGGTTAAATATTTGGAGTGGCTGCACTTGCCTGTCTAGACATTTCCCAAGAACAAGGCTGTTTTTGTAATTTATGATTTATAACAGTTATCTATGTATGTGTTGGAGGTGTCAGTTGCACTGTGACCAAGGTTGATTTATTGTACTCCTCCTTCTGCTGCTAAGTTCGGGTTTCCTGCTCAAATCAGCCCCTCCAGTCCTAGTTCCTTTAGGAATTTTAGGATATCTAGGATCGTAGTTCAGTAGAAGATTGTGAGGTGTCTCTTCTTCGTCAACACAGAATCTGCAGGTGCCACCTTCTTCGAATCCCAATTTCAGTCAGTGTTTCTTAAGTCTATAATGTCCCGAGAGAAACCCGGTTGCATGTCTTGAGACTTTGCTTGCTAAGGTTGACCAGCAGTTCTGATCTTTTTTGGTTGAAGTTGCCTAATAGATCAGCCATTGTTTGTTCCTTAGCTAGTTCTCTCCATCATACTACACACAAATTTATTTTGATTAACTAACCCTGTTGTGGTTTACTTTTTAAATGTTGTTTTTGTTCTAAGCTGTTGATCATGGCTATCCTCTGAAAGTTACCTAGGTACCTACTTACAGCGTTTTTTTTGTTAAGTAAATTGCTTAAAAGAGGACCTTTTCTGTATTGACCGAGGCTTTCAGTTAAGTAACAGAATATCAACAATAAGAATAGCATATTTTGGATATCTATGGTATAAATTAAATAAAAAGACACATTATGAAAATTGACAAGACATGCTTATTTTACACATTTGAACTGAGACTAGAAACACCTCAGATTATTGTCTAGTCCCAAATGTCTTCCTATTTACAGGACAGGAGTCAAATATAAAGTATTCTTTAATCTTAAAGAGAATTCCGTTTTATTATTTTTGTTTGTAGATCAATGCAGCTGACCAATGTGGAAAAGATGTTTGTGATAAATGTGTAGATATTATTGAATATGTACTATTAGTGAGAAAGAGATTTCAAATGTGTCAAGAAGATTTACAAAAATCCATAATAAATGAGAAAAACAAAGAATCTCCAAAAAATAAACTTGAGGTTAGTTTTGCACGCTTGGATATAATGTTTTTTTTTTTAATAATTTGCATTTTATTTATTTCCAGGAAGTTTTTCAATATCCCCAGGTTTGTAGACCTACTTGTGTAAAACCATCAGATGTCCGAGTTTCCTTGGAAAACTTGCACAGTGTGTGCCAAGCATCAGTTAATTTGATCCGCTGGGAAAATTCATTAGATTTTATGAGTTACAGAAAGTTATCTGATCGGACATACAAACCTAGGAAGCATAGACATTTTAAGTTGGATGATAAGTTGATAGTAAAGTATCTTACCTAGATATATTGTTTACATAATTTATTTTGATTCCTTTCAGAATGATATTTGCTCCTCTTTGGATGAAATAAGAGATGTTGGATTCTATAATATGAGCAGAGATATTGGTACAAACACTGATGACCCTCTGAATTCCTGTGATTGTAAAAATGATAAATATATTGATACGGACGACATCAGGGTAAGTGATACCATTGATATTTTTTGATTAAATTTTTCAATCAACAAGTAGGTAGATAATTATATTAAACAAATTCTCACATTTGATTTTTTTTTAGATGAAATTTTTAATAGTGGTGACTTCTCGGGTGACTTCTTATTCTAATCTTTTTTGTTTTCTTTTTTTTTTTTTTTTCAATTATGAGATATTTAATTTATGGGTAAATTGAGGTGTCATACTATCACTCAATTCCATAATTTGTTGTGTTAAGTATGTTTCCTCATATGTTTCTAACCAGGTCTTGATTTGGATAGCAGGTACCTAATCAAAAATTATAGTATTTTCTTTGTGTTTTTGGAACACTCCAATATAGATAGTCGCTCTTACACCAGTTAGAACTGACATACCAACATGAAGATGTTGAAAAAATATGACTTGCTCCAAATAAATTGAACTGTATATCACAGACTGTACCGAGTTGCTCCAAAACCGGTACATAAGTACTCCAAGTATAAATGGGAACAAGTAGTGCCCATGAAATGAGAAAGGGTGAGAAGAATAAACGAATGGACGAGCTGCTCCAAGAAAAATGCATGTGTACATATCAAGTTTCTGTATGGAATCAATCACTGAAGAGAGCCTGAGGCAATCAATAATATTCACCAGTCCAACTGATTGAAAATCTTGTGTTTTATCTGAGTCTTTCAAATTTTAACATTGCTTAAAGACTTGAAAGAAATACCAAGTTTATGGTACATATCAAAATATTGTTTAGATCTCACATCAATACCGCACAAGGTGATGTGTAAGCAGAAGCGACCAAATTCAGAAAACTTGCATAAACTGTAGTGAAGTTGAAATATTTCATCCTCCAGGTGTAAGGCTGGCGACTGCTACAAAGACCTTATGATCATCAAATCCATTATTGTTATCAATGATGACAATGAGGATATAGTATACTTACCTGAAGAGAGTTTTACATGAACTAAAAGATAACAACAAATTGTTGCAAGGAAACAAACTATGGAGAGAGAAGCTAACTGCAATCCTCCCTTTCCAGAGGGCGAAACCAAAACTTATAAAAAATTGTTCAAAAAATTGATGGTTGCAATAACCACTAGGAGAAACTGTGTTCTAATATATAGAACTCCTTTTATTTATACATTTTAATTTCCCTTTGTGATACATGCATGTAAAAACAATGAACACCGCATCAATGCTCTTTCACATATTCCATTCAGTTAATTATCTTTTTTTTTGTTTCAGAATATTGTCAATGTTAGAAAAAATATTCTGCCGGCATATTTGAAGAGAGCAGACAATGCAAACAATACATTGAACTGGAAAGGAACAAGTGTTGGTGTAAACCAAAAATATGAGAATACAATTAGAGTTGCTATGCAAGATCTTTGTAATTTTGCACAGCCAAAAGTTATCCTAGAACCAGCGGAATGTCTTATTCGACGGGAAAATTATGAAGAAGTTGGTAAAAACTGCTACTATATCAAACGTTATAGATTGGAAAATGAAAGTAATAATCATTTTAACACAAACTCAACAAAAAAACGACGACTATCAATTATGGATCCAACGAATAATGTTTTTACTGAAAGGGTTAATAAGAAAACTGCTTATGATAGTGAAATTGGGAGCGCATCGCCTCATGAAAAACGTCATGGAAGTGCCAGTATTGGACTAAATGAAAATTCTACAAAGAGCACTTCTGCTAAAACAAAGACATCTACCACTAAGAATATACATGAAAATGGTATTGACAGTTCCACTAAGGTTTCGTCTTTGCACTCGACCTACAAAGACCAACAATCAAATTCTAATACTGAGAAAAACATAGCTGCGACACATAGAGTGAAACTTCAACGACTAAAAAACAATAGAGTAACCCCAACATCTGAAAATAGCGTTCCGCAACCAACTTTCATTTGGGAACGGAATTGCTTGGGAAAATATTCAGCTATTAATTTTTATAAACAATCACCGGCAAATACATCAGGTACCTCAGCTTCACAATCTTCGGAAAATACATCAGATACCTCAGCTTCACAATCTTCGGAAAATATATCAGATAACTCAGCTTCACAATCTCCGGAAAATACATCAGATACCTCAGTTTCACAATCTAAGAAAGACCTGTGTCTCAGTGATACTATTTTAAAGCTGGCTGGTCGTTTGGAACATCCACTGGATGACTTGGATAGAGTACTACCTACCTGATAAAAAAAAGTGAAATTTGACAATAGGAGTTGTGTTACTGATTAATTTTTTAGATACCTATTTTTATTTTTTCATTTTTTTAGAAATCTCTTTTGTTTTTAAATGTTTTTACTTATACAATTTTTTTCACTGAAAGTTTTTTCCAAATGGTGTATCTGTTTTTGTTCTTGGCTTACCTAGAGAAGTTTTTCAGTTGCGCCAATGACCTATTACAGATAAGACTATGCAGGCGCCTCAATTGTGTTTTCGCAAGAGGATTACCCACTTAACTTATGTTGCTAAAATAAAATTGATATTTTTCTTCTAAATGTTAAATTCAGATAATTTCTTCAAGAATGGAAGAAACTTCCGTTTACACCGTTCACAATTTAAAAAGAAATGTTAGAGAATAATCTGTACACTGTCCCAATCACAGCCTAAGTATTTGGAATGAGTTCAGGGCAGACGGTTTAATTAGACGAGAGTGTCGGATTTTAGTTATCCTCACTCTGACCTACTCCTACAACCATTCCTACCCCTTTAGCCAATGAGTGGGAATACCCGTTGCACATAGAGCTACCCATGAAAGACAAAACTGAGTAGAGACGCCAGTTACAAATTAGTTGGATACTCAATCCTTGTACACAAGGGGACGGGACAAAAATCAAAAATAAACACGTTTTTCAGTGTATGCAAGATGTCGAGCGATGATGAGGAAGCAGTTATTTGATATTATAATCGAAGATACAGGCAGAGTAATCAGGAGATTGTGCATGGGTTCATCATAGAAAGAAGCATGAATTATTGTAGAATGTTTGTAGCAACTAGAGAACTACTGGAAAATAATGGAGAATTTCTCTATTTCTTTTCTACCTCTTCAACGAGTTTAGATGTTATTGAAAGCTTGGACATTCATTTCGTATTTCCTCATTTCACTACACATACAGGTTTGGATAGGAGATGAGGTTAGAGCAATGGTTTCCCCGTATGGTATTAGGAGATAAACCAAGGCTCACGTAGGCATGCGAGCATCCCTCAAGTGGATCTTTGTAATAATATGCTATAAAACCTATATAAAAAAAGTTATAAGAACTTGAGTGAAGTGAGTCCTATTTCAACTTACTTTTGGCAACCTGTATTTATAAATTGGCCATCTACCCAACTTAGCACATATGCATGCGTTCAAAGTTCATAGAAAGACTACTTTGCCTCACACCTTAAAAAAAAAAAAATTAGTCGTGGGATCTTCGACTGAGTAAATGGTTGCGTATCGAAATCCATACGAATCAATTTGACTAGGCGTAACCAAGTTTATGTGTTCAATCGACAATCAGATCCATAAAATATCAGATTGAGCATAGTAGCATACAGCAGGTAATGCAAATACCTCCAGAAATAAGGCTTTACCCTGGAACGTCACATTGGGGCGAGTGTTGGCGCCAACTTTGGTTCTTATCGGCGGTAGTGTAAAAGCATCCACTCATTGGGTGTTATTGGAGCCACGATCAGCTAGTTCCAAGCAGAGCCAACATGAACATGTCAGACTTAGAAATGGCCGTGGGAGCGTTTGCTGTGCTAAGCGCTGCTTATCATAATGTTATTTTACTGTCGAAACAGAAAAAATGTCCGCATGGAAGAATAAGATGGTGGGTCATAACACTTTACAGATTACGAAGGCCGCTCTCACTTCTCCAGACAACTGATGACTGAACAAGCCAATGTGTGGCCGACATACGAACATTGGGACAAATTCCTTTTGATATTTCGTCGAAAAACCGACACAAGACGGATAACTCCCAACGTTATTGGTGCAAACATTGGCGCCAACGTTAAAATCTCGATTCACACATTGAACGTGCGTTGTTGGCGCCAACATTGGCCCCAATGTGTGGTTCCAGCTACAGTGACTCTATTACCCACAGTGGCGACAATTGCTGTCTTATTTTTGATTGGTTCTAAAATCCCATATATTTATATTGAAAACGCCGCCATCTTGTTCCCACCTATTGCTTATTTCAAATATGAATATATGGGATTTAGGTGAATATCCATCATAAAACAGGGAAAACAACGTATTTGATAGACCTTATAATGGTCATCAAATATGTCGATTTCAATTTTTTATGATAGATGTACATTTAAATCTTATATATCAATATTTAAAAGTAACAAGAGGTTGGGAACAAGATGGCGGCGGGACCTCTATTGCCTCCACTGTATGTAAAGGTTTATTTAGCCACTGTAGTTCCAGCCATATTTATATTTTCATAATACTGAATGGTAGAGCAATCATTCTCGTGAGAACGCTGTACCCTGTTTCGAGGATAGACATCCAGGTGTTTGTGCATCGTGTTTATCGGAGTTACTTTCTTGTTATGGTTCGTTCCAGGATTGAAAGGGATTTTCACTATCATCATCGTCATCAAATTCAGATATATTTCCACGTGGTGCTGGGATATCTTGGATTAAAAGTCTCTTCTCTGCCATCGGGAAAACGAACCAACGCATAATCTGGGTTTACTTCCAGCAAGTACACCTCGTTCACAAACGGGTCGTATTTACTTTTCCTAACATCATTTTTTATCCAAACCGGGCGACTGAAACTCTTGAAAGCCAGGAAGGAATAGCTTGTCCAATGCTAGATTCACAAGAATGTTTAAACATGCGTTCTTGAGGTGTTCAATTTGTTGCAATATACAAGAGAGATCGGGTAGAATGCAATGCATCTTCGAGTACACTCTCTTATTGTTCTGTTTTCAGACTACGGAGATGGCCGTGCCTCAGAGCGAGCGAAATTGTTTTCCATATTGTTCCAGTTGTTCTGCTAGTGGTTATACATTATAGCCCTTTAGTTCTTTTGACATGAAAGAGCTTCCTCAATTAGAATGTATGTACGAGGGTCCAAATATTTCAAATAGATTTGTGAAACATTTAATCAAAGTCTCTGCAACCATATCAAGGCAGGCGTAAGCAAAAGGGAATCTTACGAGTTCATCTACAATGGTTAGTAGATAACGGTTTGTTGAGGTTGTTGGAAGAGGACCTTTATAATCAATGTTAAGCTTTTCAAAAGGTGTGGCTGATTTTATTAGTGTTCCTTGATTTTCACTGAACGTCGGCTTCTACAAATAGTGCAAGCAGCCACTGAAACATTCTAAGTTATTCCAGGATGACGAAGCGCATCATGTAATGCGTAGGTACAATTTTTTCTCAGCTGTAGCCCTACATACCCGAGAATAAATATCGGCTAGGATATTCTCATTTTGTGGACGGTAGATTATGTCGTATGAATAGCATGAAAGTTCGAGTCTCCACCGTTGAATTTTTTTCATTTTTTATTTTACTACTATGCTTCGTGTTGAACATAAATGAGACCGATCTTTGATCTGTAATCAACTTGAAATGCCTTCTAATAAGAAAGTGACGCCAGAGCTCAAATCTTTCTCAACTGCTCTGCTGAGTGGTTTTGTTCACTATGTGATATAGTTTTGAGAAAAACGCAACTGGTCGTCCAGACTGGCTTAGAATTGCTGCTTATTGAATGTTCGGAGGCGTCTGTTTCCGCCACAAATGGAATGTTTTCTTCAATGGCAGTGACAGCTGAGTTTGCTACTTCAGTTTTCAAGTTCTGAAAATTGGTGATAGAAGGCTCATGCATAGGAAAATTTCTGTTACTACCAATTCTATGATTTTTTTTGAACAATCTAGAATCTAGGTATCTATCTAGAGTAATGAGCGAACATGCCCACAGATTTTTGAAGCGAAGCTTTATCAGTTGTTACTGGCAGATTCTGTAGAGATTCCAGTCTTGCAGGATCAGATTTAAGTTTTCTATTCTCTATGAGATATCCCACGGTAGTTTAATTGACTTTTTGTTTAACACAAATTGTTATAACAGGTCTTCAAAAAAGAAGCAATCGAAGATTGCTATGGTTTTTTAAACGCATGTCTTGGCAATATTTTTGGTTTGTCAATGAACTTTAAGGCGGCTACTCACACACCAATTTGCAGGATCCAATCTGCAGGAGACGAACGATAGTGAAATCGGGTTTAGACTCTATAATACGTCCCAATTCCCAATTTATCAGTAGAGTTGCTCACATGGCTCCCTCAAAGCGCCAAAAAATTGGACATTTCCACCATAGTCTCGGGCATAGCAACTAGCGGAAAATGGTTTCCATATACATTTCGACAAAAAGCTGTGTTGTCATATTTCAAAAACCAAGTTAATCGGATTGGTAGATTCAGTGCGCACTGAGTGTATTTGCATCCTTTTAAACGACCTGTAGAAGAAAAAGACAGAAATAGAAAACATTGCGCTAGTTCTGTACTAGATCTACCAAGCGGAAACGCCATTAGCGTCCACACTACTCTTCGATCAGATATCACTTTGCAGTCCTCGAATTATAACCCATTTTTGACACCAATGTCACGGCTCTGGGGTGCGATTTTCGAAACTATTCGAGTACATTTCGTACATGAAAGACTGACAGCAATGTAAATTGAATGGGAAGCATTCGAAATCGTATCAAATTTCGTATGCGAGAATATTCGAAAATCCGACCACTGGCTTGCGTGACATTAATCTTGGGTCCGTTTATTCCAGAATCAAAGTCCAATTAACACAACAATGATTTATTTCACGTTACTACACACTCTGACACTAATTACTTCACTAATTAACTCAAACAACTTAACTCTTCACAATTCCTACAATAATCACTATCTAAAACGTACCACAGCCAATGTTAAACTTAAAAACTACTAACTAATACCGGCCTTTATGTATCTGTAATCGATTCTTGCTAAATCCAAAATAAACGCGATAACCTCTTTGCCCGAATAAAGCAGTAAAATATAGAATCAGCTGTCAAATTCTGTACACCCAGGCGCTTCCGCCAGATTTTCGCGACAATAGGATAGATGATAATCCATACTCAATATCGAGTAATCGCCAATGATGATGACATATTTTGTTATCATCAGGAAGCCTGATTTTTCTACTTTACAAAAATGCATGTATTTTTTTAATTATCTTGAAATTGCATCGTAAAAATAATCGACTGGCCAAAAAAAAATGGATAACTAATTTGTATTTAATACATAGGTAAGGTTTGTTTCACCAGGGTTCATACTTTTTGCCTTCCTTTTTTAATAAATGGAAAATGACTGAAACAAATCAATGACGTCAAAAACGTTCGTCGGCTCTTCAACCAGAAGTCAATCATTTCAATTTGTCAAAAAAATTGAATGTGTCATATGAATTAATCTACGACAACCCTTTTTTCTCAAGTTATGACGCGTTCGATATCAAAAGTATGAACCCTGGTGAAACGATCTTTACTTATTTTTATTATTATACCGGGTGCCCACGAGATTACTTTCCGGCTGCCATTTTTTTATTCGTTCATTGATATCAACGAAACTTGGTAGGCTAGATATTCTAACGAAATGCCATTTTTGTGCATTTACGACAAGTTTTCCTGACTTCCGGTTTCACCGGAAATTACCGAAACTTTCGATTTTCAAATGACACACCGTGTATATTTTTTGTTTTTTGGATTCTACAGATCGTTTTACGTCCTAATGTACCACTTTTAAATCGAACTTTGTCCAAATTTCGTTTTCAAATTAAATTTAAAGTAGAAAAAAAATAACAACCTACATAATAAAACAAAAATATTTGAACGAAAATTAAGAAAAATGTCGTAGTGTTTTATATCGTTGGATTCGCTTCAAAATACTGCATTTAATAATGCTATGAGAGTGGTATGTTCCTATTCTAGTTTTTGAGCTAGGTCAAAAATACTAAAATAATGAAGTTTACAGCCCTCTATCAATAAAGTTTACAAAGATAAAATTCAGTTTGCATTTTTCTGAAATTAAGTAAAGTATGTAGAGTCATTTTAGGATGATCATGGCACTCTAGTTGAAAAATTAAAATTTAATTTAAAAACAAAATTTGGACAAAACTTGATTTAAAAGTGGTGCATTAGGACGTAAAACGATCTGTAGAATTCGAAAAACAGAAAATCTACAGGGTGTGCCATTTAAAAATTAAAAGTTCCGGTCATTTCCGGTGAAACCGAAAGTCAACAAAAATTGTCAATAATGCATAAAAATGGCGTTTGGTTTGAATATCAACTCTACCAAGTTTCGTTGATATCGATAGACAAATAAAAAAATGGCAGCCGGAAAGTGATCTCGTGGGCACCCGGT